AATACTGAATTCCTGTCTGTCACAGAGATCCTTCTTCCTCACATAGAAATCATCAGCCATGCCATTTAGCTGTGATTTTGTGTCATCATAGGGGATGGCAGATAGGGACGTGGTGGCGCTGCGGGCTAAACCGCAGAAGCCTGTGCTGCAGGGTCAGAAGACCAAGCAGTCGTAAGATCAAATCCACGCGACGGAGTGAGCTCCCGTCACTTGTCCCAGCTCCCGCCAACCTAGCGGTTCGAAAGCATGCAAATGCAAGTAGGTAAATAGGGACCACTTCGGTGGGAAGGTAACAGCGTTCCGTGTCTAAGTTGCACTGGCCATGTGACCATGGAAGATTGTCTTCGGACAAAACGCTGGCTCTATGGCTTGGAAACACATGGCATAGCTACATGGCAGCATGTTTCATTTCATAGTAGAAAGGGACTGAGTTACATTTGGCCTGCACCACTGCCATAGTCCTACGTTTCTTTTTTTGCCTTTTATTTTTTATTTTTTATAACACGTACATACATATAAAACAAACACAAACATATAAGACAATAAAAACATATAAAAGAAACAAAACATATAAGCAGGGAGGTATTTCCCATTCAAGCTTATCCTTATATAATTCTGACTACAACAGATCTTATGCCCTACTCTCATACTAAATCATACTATATCCATATATATCTACACGTATTTTGTATCCCTATTTCAAATATTTAATTCAATATCTAGCCTCCTAAATTTATAATTTTTATAAATTCTTTCACCTGCATTTCCATCTATCCAGTTATTATCATAAATATTTCTGATTTCATCATTAAGGTTACTTATCCATCAATAAGATCCAAACATGGCTAATACAACCATCAAAAATCACGTTTTCTAAAGACATAAAGATATTACATGTCTAATCTTATCTACATAGTCACTTATAAATTCACACATATTTGATATCCCTATATACAGTGGTGCCTCGCTAGACGATGATAATCCGTTCCACTGAAATCGCTGTTTAGTGAAATCATTGTCTAGCGAAAAACATTTCCCCATTGGAATGCATTGAAAACTGTTTAATGCGTTCCATTGAGAAGAATCGTCGTTGTCTAGCGAAGATTGGCCATAGGAAAGCCGCTTTGTGAACAGCCGATCAGCTGTTTAAATCGCTGTCTTGCGAATCTTAGGTCCCGAAAACGCCTGTTTGTGAGCGCGGAGGGAGCTGTCAAAATCGTTGTGTAGCGAAAATTGGTTTGCGAAGCAGGGACCAAACATTGTCCAGCGAAATTCCTCCATAGGAAGCACTGTTTTGCGAATCGCTATAGCGATCGCAAAAAGCCAATGTCTAGTGAAAAAACTCATGCGGGGTAACTGTCTAGCGAGGCACCACTGTATCTCTAAAGATGTACCATTGTAGAAAGGAAAACAGATTCATCATAGAGTATACAACATTCTTCAGATCAACAGTTTTCTGTACAATCCAAACATGGCCAAATTTGCTTATAGATATATTACCCACATTAATTTGTATATAGAAATATCTCTCACACCAATTATTACTATTGTTGAGTTCAGCAAGTATCTTTCTCCCTTTTTATTTGTGCTTATCAGTTCCAGTATTATAAATCCAAAATTTGCCTCTTGCCTCCTTTTTACCAATTTTAAAATGCCATCTATAAAATCTCTTTAAACCATTTTCTCTCCGCTTTACTAATTTTATCCCAATAAAATTAATGTCCTGTTTTCGGAGTAATGCTTATCTGATCTGTGGTCATAAATTTCTGCGCCCAACTTTGCCCATTCCTCCTCCTCATCTTTGGTGATGCCGTGATAATTCAGTGGTTTGTCCAGTCAATTTGTCTTTCCTCTCCGTCTTAACATAAGATCCAAGAAGTGTTGCCTTAATATCTGCCTTAGCTTCCAAGATCTGGCCCTTGATTTAATTAATAATATTCAATTGAATTTCCTGAATTTAAATAGTAAGGCTCAGTCTATCTCCTTCTTTCCCAGTCATAGCCATAAAAGTCAAGCACGTTAATTACTCAGATTCCTCTCATGATTTATTAGCCAGCCCAAACTCAGACTCCTGCGAAGACCACTCCAATCGTAAATCCAGCCGCAATAAAGCCGCAATAAAGATGATGTTGGAGCTACAAAGGTCAATATAACTTCTGCCTAAGGTACCTTGAAGGGAGCAGGGAAACAACTGTGGTACCATCTGAAGATGCTACATGTTTTTGCCAGCCCTGATTACAGCCAGTTGTGCTGTCAACTTAAACATACAATTATGAACACAACCTTTTAAAAAGTATTTTCCTCCCATTTTATTGCTTCTCTGGAATGGATGGCTACAACAGTTGGTGGGGTCAATGCTGATGGAGCTTGCACACCAGAAGGACAAAGTGCTATCATGCAAATCATCCTTATTCCATGTCAGAACTTGGAAAAGTTACTATAATTCATAGAATCCCTCAACCATTCTGGGAAATAATGGGTGTTGTATTCTAAATAATAAAATAAGATTTCCAGGCTGAGTTCCTTAAAATTCATATTGTTCAGTTCAATATCTTCTGTTTCTCCTCATGTGCAGATGCTACTTTTGATGAGGTGGGGGATACCCCAAAAAGCATTTAAGGTGATGTGCCCTGATCTTTCTTCATGTGGATGTCAATTTTAAAAATATATATCAGTTTCAAACATTATAGTACATTTGGAAGTTGAGCCATGGCAACTGGACTTCTTATTAGTCAACTTAATAAGAAAGAAATCCAGTTGTCATAACGCAACTTCCAGATAACCTGCCCTAGATGACTGAGAATCTTCAGATTGTAGTACATTATACTTTTTCTTACGTTCTTATAGAATACCATATCAAAAGCCAGCATTTTTAGTATTCCAGAATTTATGATGGTTTTGTAAGCCCCTCTTTTATTAATTCGATTCATCAGACAAGAGTTAACGTAAGCAGTGGAAACTCCTTGTCAGTCATTATTTTTCTAGGCGGACAGTTCTGAGGAACATAATAGACAATGGGAGGTCAGGTCTCCCCTTCCCCATAATAACATAACATAATAACAAGAAGTCCTGGCCTGCAATCATTTACTCTCCCTGCTTTATGTTTACTGAGCTGGCAGCAAGCACTAGGCCAACTGATATTCCTCAGAGTTAGGACATATTTTGTCCTTCATTGCTAGTATATACCGACAATGTGATTGCTCATTGTTCACCCACACACCTGCCCATGCAGGCATCTGCATGCATAAATACCTGCACACATCCCCCCCATACACAGCTGTCAGTCTTTTAAGAGTCTCCTTTGGTGTCCGTGGAAGTTTTTCAAAAGTCTGATTACAGAAAGGAGGGATGACTTTGCATGTTGGACAACAGACAAGCCGTCAAGCCAGATGGGGCCCTTTTGTGGCCTGTCTTGAACCTATCAGCTGGCGCTTTCCTCTCCTTACTCTTTCTCATGCAGTTAAGATGCAGAGTCAGGCACGTGTGACACCTTTGATTTCAGTGGGTATCAGAAAGATTCAAGTTCTGGAATTCCTCTGGCATTGCCTCCACCTGCATAAGATCAGGCTGCAAGTATCAACTGGCCACTCTTATCTCCTTGCTTCTTTCCAGCACAAACGATTACTGACACAAACTGTTAACATCCTCTCAGCTCTATGGCAAATGAAGGACCTGTTCTCATCTATCAACCAGCTGTCAGTGTTTTGGATAAAACGTTTAGATGTGAAATTGAAAGCCTTGGCATGTAAAAGGATCCCTCTGTGTTCTGGAATAGGAGGTAAGCTCAACGGGAGCTGCTTGTTGTCGCTCCCCTGCAAACATACAGTACACACAACCTTAAAATTTCAGCTCAGCAGTACTGTGTTTCTAAGCAACAGGCAAATGCTTCATTCTCCTGGTTTCCCTGAGCAAGTGGTTCATTCCTGTTAAGGTACTGGTGGTCAAGGAAGATGAGCATAACATCATTTGGACTGAATGCTTTTCTCATGGTATTCAGCCAGAGGAATTCCAGAACTTGAATCTTTCTGATACCCATTGTGTAAAACGACCGGAAAAGGTAATGATTTTTTTTCTCATTAATTTATGCTGAACTATGGCACATTGTATCTTATAAGATCCTATTTCTATGCTATTAATATGCAATTTCCTCATTTCATTTGTAGCTGAAAGATCTAGTTTTAAAAACCCAATTCAATTCCTTCAATGTTCTATGGCTGGAAAGTAATGTGCATTTATACATGGTTGTTTTCCAAATGAAGCCCTTATAACTGCTCTGTTTATTATTATGCATACTGTTGGTTAGCTGGCTGTTTTTTGCATGGGTTTACCTGGAAATTCCTGCAAAATCCCAGACCGGATTGGGAAATACATTTCGGTTAGAGCAGAACGTGTACAGCTTATTGGACTATCACACAGCTTTTACGACAAGGAAGGATTTTGGTGATAAAAACAGTTATCTCAATGACTGCCTAAAATCGTTAACATACTTCTTGTTGTGTCTTTAAAATATATTGCATTTGAAAGAAGATTTAATACAGTATGCACAAATCATTTTGTTTCATTTATGGGTACTCTGTGCAGTGGTTCCAATCCAGTGCATTGACATCTGTTTTTAGAAGCAAATGTCATCAACAGCTTGAATAGTCAGTCCTTCATATCTTATAAATGCATTCCTGTCTAAGGTTGGGAAAATCTCTCCTAAAAAAGAGTGGACAACATTCACTGTTGAGCCCTGGAGAACAGAGATACAGGGGAAGGAATTTGTAAGATTGCCTAAATAAAGAATTGTATGCATACCTTTTGACCTACTTAAGAAAATACAGCCCACTAACCATGTATGCTGATTGATTAGGTACTAAATAAATATTATGCTTTAAGTGAAGTACAAAAACAGAATGGTTTGTCAAATGCTTGGCAGATCACAATATAGGACTTTGTCTTGGAGGGTCACCTTAGGCATGTAAGTATCCAGATTCCCCCATAACATTTAATTTTTCAAATATGTCTTGAAAATCAAATTGATACAGCAGGGATAACTGTCTCTTTATTCTGTATTTACATTGATCATGCTGAGCAAGTGCTTTCACCTCCAGGCTTCGTCACAACAACACAAGCACAAATTATCTCAGTACTTACTGCTCTGTTGATTTCAAGATAGGCTGCAACTGTTTTAATTCCTCTGCATACGTGATATTAAAAAGCCATTTTGAGCACCCTACTAAGAACAACTCCATTTTGTCTCATTTGGGTCTCAATTTATTGCCCCTTTTCTATGGATTTCAACCCTCAATACTAGTTCAGAAAATCTACCATTTCACCCGGATTTGATGAAAAGACCAGGTATAGCTGGTTGTTACACATGTATTGGTGAGTGGTGACAGCTCACTCCACATCTCTGGATTACAAAATCCAATAATTTCATGTGTATGAAAGAGCATGAGGGTTAAAAAGAAAGCCCCTACTTACTATCCCACGTAGTAACTATCAAGGGTAGACTTACTATCCCATATTACAACTTTCTGGAATCAACCATCTAAGCAGAACTTCTGCAATATGGTATCTCCAACTGCAGATTCAGATAGCCTATTGAGAATGAGCACATTGTGGATTATATTGAAAATTACAAGATCCAGTAGGATCAATAGGAACGCAATTCTCCAACCTTGTTTGTTTGTTTGTTTGTTTATATCCCACCTATCTGATCTTATGATCACTCTAGGCGGCTTCCAAATACATAAAACAACATGTAAATATAAGAAAAAAGACATTGTTACATCAAATAATACATCAAACCCTCTCTTGTTAGAGGTCAACCAACAGAAAGAACAAAAGAGTTTTGAAACTGGATGGTCATGATTTTAAAATGGGCTGGCATACATATGTGCACTATGGAAAGTTCAAAGAACAGGCACATTTCTCAGAACATATTGTGAGGAAAGCATTATGTCTAGTATGGCAAAAACTTCAAATGCAAACTCATAAGAAAATTCCAATATGGGTAGCACCAATAGAGGCATTTACACTGGAAGTAATGAATCAAAAGGGGGGGGGGGTTGCTTACATATAAAGATTTATTAACTAAAGATCAAACTATGAAAGATAAACAAGATCTAAAGAAACTAGTGACAGATTGGTGGTCAATGCTGAAACTAGAATCAAGATATAAAAAGGACAAAAATATGGGCTTTTTTGAGGGGAAAATTCAGATGGATGAATTATGGATTTATACAAAAGAGAAAATAATCAAAAAAGTACACATACCTATTAGTATGATCTAGAGGATGAAAGGGTGAAGGAGACAATGGTAAAATGGGCACAAAACTTTGGCTATAATATTGATATTGATGACTGGACAAAAATGTAGAAAGATAACTACAACATGATTAAACCAGTTAATCCTTAAAATGTTTCACAGATGGCATTTTACTCTGGTAAAATTGGCAAACATGTCAGGAGGGATCAGTAATGTTTATTGGAAATGTAAAAAAATAATAATCCAGGAACTTATTATCATGTATGACAGTCGTGTGAAAAAGCAACAAAATTTTGGTTACAGGTTTGTTAAATGTCACAAGAAATTGTTCACCAAAAACTAAGTTTTAAACCTGATATGTTGTTATTGAATATAATGCCAGAAATTATTGATAAGAAAATAAAATATAGTCTACTGTATATATTTACTGCAGCTAGGTTACTCTGGGCCCAAAAATGGAAGAATGGAGAAACACCAACAATGGATGAGCTGTTAAAGAAGCTACTGGACATTGCAGAATTAAATATGCTTTCAGAGGCACTATGGGATCAATTGAGACACTTTGTAAAGGAAAGCTGGAAGCTGGTATATAGTTGGGCCGAGAAAAAGACAGGAACTTAGGGGAAGAAATAGTTTATGGCAAATCAGTGCTCACTAGAATCCTTTGATGATATTTGGATGTCTAGACCACTGGTTCTTAACCTTTGTTACTCAGATGTTTTTGGACTTCCAGAAGCCTTCACCATCAGCTCTGCTGGCTGAGGTTTCTGGGAGTTGCAGTTCAAAAACACCTGAGTAACAAAGGTTAAGAACCACTGGTCTAGATGATGGTGAAATTTCTGATCTATTGTATATGTGTCGTGTGGATGTTTAGTTTTGCTGTTATTTAGTGTTATTTTTGTTTGGTTTTAGTTTTTGGTTCTGTACGTTTTAATGTATCAAATAAAAACACTATTGTAGAAAAAAAAATAAAAAATAAAAAATGCAATCATAGAACAGAGGGTAAAGGAAGAAAAGAAAGAAAGACCAAAACAGTTTAATTGCAAGAGCTGACCTAAAATGCAACTGAAATAGGGTATAAACGCACACGCCGAGGTGTTTACAACCAATGTATTATTACATCTTTCAAATTTTCCTTCAGTAGTAATAATTATACGCTGTCAAGCGGATTCCAACTTAGGGGACCCTTTGCAGGGTTTCCTTGGTAGAGAGTCATGAGTTGCAGCTTACCCTTCCCTTCTTCTGAGGGCACCCTGAGACTTGGCAGCTTGCCAAAGGCTACATATTCTGGCTCTTCTCACTAGGGGATCAAACTCCCCAGTCACTGAGCTATCCAGCCAGCAATATTTGTTTGTTTGTTTTCTTTCTGTGGTCATATATTTAATGTCATCTATTTATTTGTTGTACATAGCTCTAATTTAACTGGGACTCTGTGGTCCTGTTTGCAACCTGAAGAATGCCGATATCCATAGAAAGAAAACGCTTAAAAAAAGAAATTGAAAAACTCTTGTAAGTACTGGCTATAACCTGTTTCATATTCTTTGCTTCATTGAATACCAGTGTGAGCAGTCTGAGGGAACTGGAGGGAGGCACGGATCTGTTGCCCCCACCTCCCACTGGCGGCTGCATCAGATCTGAAAGGGCCATTTTCAGCCATTAAAAAAACCAAGTAAACAGGAAGTGTTCAGATTAGAACTTCAAATTAGTTGTGTTTTTGTTTGTTTCTTTAGTGAATGGAGAGGCCTTAGAAGACTCTCACCCCAATGCAATAGCCACCATTCTGGAGGCTTCCAGAAGCAGAAATGGGGATTTTTAAATAATAGGGAGCTCTGACATGGGTTTAAGGGACACAAAAATATGCTGGGGTGTGTGAGCCCAAGTGGCCAATGGTTCACACATTTCCTTCTCTTGAGGTAGACTCACATCTAGTATTTACATATTGCAGCCTGTGTTTGTTGAATCTCAGGCTTTCTAGAAGTCATGAGCAGTAGACATCAGTCAATGACTTCAAGTCATCATAGCAACATATTGTCTCCAGTATCAGAGAGAGTGATATCTCTCAGTATCAGTTGCTGTTATTCATGAGTAGATGAGCTCATTGTCTGCCTTTGGGCTTCCTATAAACACTTCCTTGGCCCCTGGGGGAACAGAATGCAGGTCTAGACAGGCATTTCATCTGTTCCAACATGGTCCTTGTCTTCTTGTTCATTATATCTATATATGTAATAACAGACTGGATGACTTAAATGCTTTTTTTTTTTATCAAAGGGGAGATTATGTTGGTATTAAACTTCGGGAAAACGCATTTGATCCACAAGGAAAGAGGCAGACTAGCTTTTTGGATGACTTGGTAAGCTGATATTTTCTTTTTCTTGCTCTAGTCTTTTCTTCTTTCCTGAGTGTTAGAGAAAAACTGAAATATCCTGCTTTGAGATAAAATTAAGTCGTGTTTCCTGTTACCACAGGCTACTAAAAAGAGATGAGACAATAGGAGGTGTCAGTTAACATGTAGCAACCATATCCACCATTTGTACCAGTTAGACCCCCCCACACACACACGTTTGAGGAATCATGTGGATAGAGTAAAGGACACAATTACCTTGCTTACAGAGGTCACTTGGCTCTTCTTTCTGTCAGCTCCCTACGGGTGGCAAATGTATTCACTGGACACGAGGGCTACCAGCCGAGGTGTCCAGTTTAACTCTTGCATGCAAAATTACCATTTCTTCTGGGGAAATATCAGTCAGGAAAAAAGCTCACAAGAATAATAAGGAAAAAAGATATCATGGCTGTACATATGATCAGAACAATTACAAAAATGTCCATAGGTCTAGGTCAAAACAATTCTCTAGTTGTCAGCAGTAGTATTATCACAAATTAAGTCACAAATGCAGAAGTGCAGGATCCCTCCATGAGGCCTCTCCATACTTACACATTTTCCATGTGTGGATTCTTCTTCCCTGAGCACACATATATATTCACACCAAATCATGACTTTTAGAAGCAGCTGCTAGGGGTGGGAGGAAGGAACCCTTGAGGACAGAGAGGAGCTGCCATCCAGTGATCAATCCCTCTTCCACTTTCTTCTTGCTGGGATTCTGAAATGCTGAGGCCGCAGCAGCTGCCATGGCGTTTTTACTACCCCTGTCCTGTACTTACTTCTACCCTTCCTTCTTCTCCTCTTCCTCCTCCTGGGCCCAGAAGTGGAGCATTGCAACGCATGCGCATACAAAGACAGGGCACAGAAATACAAGCAGCACCCCAAGCCATCCTAATCAAGCAGGCAACCAGGCAGAGGAGAGGGTGAACTGGCTCCTGCTTCCTTGGAAGGAGAGCAAGGTGGGGCAAGATTCCCCCTCCCACCAAAGGAGAGAACCATCTGAAGTGTTTGTGTGTGTGTGTGTGATATCCTTATGGGGGCAGAGGTGAAGGAGGGTGCAGTCTGAAAAGACAGAAGCTACCTGAGGGGAAAGGATGGAGACCGTGCTCTGAGAGAGCCAATAGGGGAAGATGCCCTGGCGGCAGGCGAAGGGCCAGAGCTCTGAGTCCTGTCGGGGGTGTGGCACAACACTGGTTGTCAGGAAGTGCCTGGGAATGGAACTTTCCTTTCCTGATTCATCTCAGACATTGCACAGTTTAACATTATGGATGTATATGAAATATAGGTAAAATTAAAAACAAATTAAAATGTTAAGATAATTAGAGTACTTTTTTTTTACCCGAAGTGAGCTGATTCACTTGTGTTATTTTGGCCATTTGTGTTCTTCCTCTTCTGACATCATACTCGGCCCTTTGGCTCTGATTCTCTGGCAACTCCTCTCACTGCTTTATCTTGACCAACCTTGATGCTAAGAAACAATATAGACTGTAATGCCTTCCTTTAGTGAGACTATTTAAATAAATGTAAATAAATAAATAAATTTATTGCAAGACCACTCCTGTCAAGCTAATCTGCTAGGCAGTCATATGAGGCATCTAATTTTCCTGAGAATTATTACTGAGCAGGTGACGTTTCAACTGACTAAATCAATAGCCCCTCAAAAGGAAAACACCTCTGTCTTTCTCTCTTGGAAATCCACAGAACACAGAAATCCATCCTGGCATAATTTAGCTTCAGGAAGGGAAACAAATGTTTCTGCATGAATTTTGATTTATCTTTTTTTAATGATTCTGATGGAGCTCCAGCTCCCTTGGCTATCTTGAGTGACATGTATTGGCCAAACTGGGCTGTAACATTCATTGTACTGTTGTAGTGTGGAAAATAAACCACCTCCCTCCTTTCACCATGGCCAGGGTGATCTGGTAAGGTTATGGAGAAAAAGTAGATCTCCATTCCCTCGGGATTTCCTTGTCTTAGTCATGCAGTCTATAAATTGAGAAGGAAGCATGCCCCCTTTTTTCTGGAAAGTTGCTTTGTTCCTGTTTCTTTAAGTCTTGCACAAATGCACTGAATCAGGGTGACAAAGAGCTGCCTGCCCAAAACTCTTTCTGAAGGCTAAAGGTAGTTCAAACGCAAAACACAAACCTTTGTGCCAACAGCACATGTCTGAGTAGTGATTCAAAGAACTGACGTTTGACATTACACTGTTCTTTATTTTGCTCCCCCCTCCTTCAGGCTCACTATGACTTGGCCATAAATCTTGCTTCACCTTGGCTCAGCGATTCTAAAGCCCAGATGCCTTGGGAAAAAGAAAAAGTGTAAGTCCGAAGAAAACAAAGGTCAATTTAAAATGTTTGTTATATAGCACACCTGGCTGTCTGCTACCTGGTAAAACTCTATTGATCCATTTATGTTTACATTGCATAGATCCATATATATTTGTACAAATCTGTCAGGATAAGAGTCTTGTTCATTCTTGCATTGTCCTTCTGATACAAAACTCCTCACAGTTGAGCTGAAGAGGTATAAATCAACAGGAATGTGAGCCATAAGCTCACATCGTGCTGCTAGGTATCCTTTATGACATTTTGAGATGTGAAAGGAAAGAGTTTTTTTAAAAGAAATTGTACCTTATTACACAGTTATTACACAGTGAGCAATCTTTACTTCAGACCCATGTAGCTTTGCAAATAAAAGTTATAGCTGCTTTATTTCAAAAAACAATGTCATTTCTGAAACATAAATGGCTTTTCTATCTTTCAACTGCTTTTGATAAAAACATGGCTTCAATGTCTTATTGAGCTTGGGTTCTGTAATTCTTAATTTGATCACATATGTGTGAAGAAGAGCACAACACAGATTTCTTATAGTTTTTAATTCAGTTTAACTAACTGCCCTCTCTTTTTTCTGATTTAATCTGTATAGGAAGCTACCATTATATCACCTATGCACATATCCCAACCGAATGGAGAGGGAAGCTATGATTTTATCATCGTATGCGGGAATGCTAATGGTACGTTATTTCATTTAAATACTGCAGCATATGATACTTTGTTTTACATAGATCTCTGTCCACATGCCCTGTCATTCCAAAGATGCCAGACTCTTGGCTAAAATAACTGGGTACTAGCTGAAATCTGTTGAGTTAACTCCTCCATAAATTCAATTGGTTCAAACAGGCCTCCTCAAGTTGCAAGTAAATCACAAGTAGAATAGACCCATGCGAATAAACGGAATGTACGGAGGAGTTGACTCACCAAATCCCCACTGGAATGTACAGAGGAGTTGACGCACCAAATCCCCACTGATTGAGTTGAGCCTACTCTGGTTAAGACTTCCTATGCTGACCAACAGGATTTCAGTCTACATGCAATGAAATGGTTGTGTATCATCACTGTGCCCTGTTCTAGTGTTAAAGAAGAAGTGATAAGCCTCTTCCTTACTGCTTCACATCTTCTTGAGATGATTGATGGCACTGATTGCCTCTTTACTTAGACTTTTAAAAAAATCAACATGCACTTAATACTTCTTCAGGCAACATAGCCCCTAAACTAGTACACATGATCCTCCTGATTAGATGACATAAAATATGGTGCATTTCACCCATATGTTTTTCTCAGACTCCAATGATCCTAAGAGGCTGGGCTCCATAGAATACAAAATGGACTTTGGATCTGTATATAATTTTACTTGCTAATTTAGAGTGTTATGTATCACCTGGCTCCAGCTGTGAGTCCCAGCTACAATAGGCACACTGGAATCAGTGGGAACTTGCTAAATTAAAACTTGAGTTCCATTGATTCAGTAAGTCTACTCTAATAGCATCTAAGAATTGGGTTTAGGCCAAAATGTTTCAATATGTTTAGAATCTTCACATAGTAGGCCAATATGTTTCCCTAGATGGATGAGCTACTTTATTTTCTTGTGCATACAATGGTGCCTCGCATAATGAGCGCACCGTTTAACGAAAATCCGCATAGCGATCTATTTTTTGGGATCGCTAATGCGATCGCATTGCGATGTTCTGAATGGGCAAACATCGCATTGCGATGATCGGTAAGTGTTTCGCTTACCGATCTTCGCATTGCGATGTTTTCAGAACAGCTGATCAGCAGTTCCAAAATGGCCACCGCAAGCATTTTTGCGCGCTGCCCTCGCTTACTGAGGTGGCGAAAATGGCGGCGCTATGGAGGATCTTCGCTGAACAGTGAGTTTGGGCCCCATAGTTTTTAGTTCTGTTTAGCAACGATTCCGGATAGCGATGATTAATCTGGAACGGATTAACGTCGCTATGCGGGGCACCACTGTACTTCCTGCCTTTACAGATTTTTCTCTTCTTTAATCTTTGATAAACTTCATTAATAAGGAAACTAAGGTTGTACGAGAGTCCTATGCTGTTAAAGCAAAGTGGTTTCTTCCATTCTTCATAGACATTCCTGCCTTTACAGATTTTTCTTTTCTTTAATCTTTGATAAATTTCATTCATAAGGAAATGAAGGTTGTATGAGAGTCCTATGCTGTTAAAGCAAAGTGGTTTCTTCCATTCTTCATAGACACTCAGATCTAATAATAAGCCACAGTTGTGTAGGAAGCATGGAGAAATGCTGTGAGATTTTTTTTTCAGCCAGGAAAGTAGATGTAACTCATGAAGCACCATTTAATTATTTTAAACCTCTCATAGTTCAGTATGGAAGTTAAGCATCTACTTAAATTGCACAGTTTAAAATTAGCGGGATTAAAAAAGGGAAGCATTGGTGGATTCTGTACATAATGGGTTGTAGGAATGCTCCTAAAATCAAGTACAGTATCATAAAGGGAATAGAAAGTGGAGTGTGTGTGCTCTAACATGAAGAGTGGTTGTTTAAAGCTTATGTTGAGCCTGGTTTAGTTATCTAGTTCACTGGTTCTTAACCTTAGGTTACTCAGGAGTTTTGGACTGCAACTCCCAGAAGCCTTCACCACCAGCTGTCCTGACTGGGGTTTCTGGGAGTTGCAGTTCAAAAGCATCCGAGTAACAAAGGTTAAGAACCACTGATCTAGTTGCACAGCGAGTGGATGAGAGGTTGACATCTAGGAAGAACTCCAGCAGGATGTGGAGAAATTGACAGACACTGAAACTCTAAAAAGGTGAGCAGGGGGACAGAGAAGCAATCATCATATATACATGTGTCTGTGGTGTGGTTCCTCCAGACAAGAGGGCCCCTATGAGTGCCAATTAAGAGGCATTGATGTGGAAATATACATGGGAAAAGATGAAAGATATTCAAAAATCAAAGCTAACCAAGTATTTCTGCAGAATACCATTCCAGTTGAAGATATCATTGGGATTTATAACACTGGACCTTCTGCAGCACACTGGCGTAATTCTGCAAAGGTAAGTTACATGGTTTTTAGTAACTTATCAACATTATCAAGTTTTTGATGTACAGTACTTCTAGTGACCTGGTATTAATTAATACAAAGTTTGATTCACTCTCCTGCTTATGTTATTGAGTTAATCACACTTAAATCTCAGTTGGGTTTTTTAAACAACTGACAGGAGATCCCACCCAACATGACAGTCACCAGGCTGACTGAAGTGGGATGGGAGTTTTAATTTAAAAAAAAAAACACGTTTGTCATTTTTTGGGTGTAGTTCTATGTGACATCTGCCAATTTCCAACTCAAGTTCAACTTCAAGCACAGGAATCTTGAGCTAGAAAATAAAAAGTTGCGGATAACAGGAAAGATGTCAGCCCGAGAACCAGTTAGAATAAATTTTCTTGGTCTGATGAAGAAGTACTTTGGAGGCAGAGGTGAATAGAAAGGCAACTTCCTGTGTTTCTGTCAGGGATATCATGAATCATATACTGTTGAATCATAACTTGATGACACATAACCTGTGTTATTATGTGTCATCAAGTCAGAACTAAGTTACAGCCACCAAAACAGGGCTTTCAAGATAAGTGAGATATTTAAGAAGTAGTTTTCCAATGCGACCCCCTTAGTGAATTTCTATGGTTAAATGGAAATTTGAACCCAGGTCTTCCAAGTCCTAGTCCATCACTCTGTTCTTTACACCACGCTGGATACCTAAACACACACGTACCCATGACTTCTAACATAATTTTGGCATCTGATTGTAAGTGTAACTTTTTCAAGGCCTGCTTCAACACTATAGATACAAATGATGACATAGTAAATAAGGTCTTACATGGAAATGATGCTGAAATTTTTCTATGTGTTTGAGAAATCTTAATACTCATATTTAAATTGATAATTAAATTGCCTGTCACCTTGAAAGTGACTTGCTATTGTTTCTCATTAAGTGTTCAAGAGGATGGCTTTACTGTAGTTTTTATAATACTTTGATACAAATAGTGTTGTTTATCTTTCAGTATAGAAGAATCACCATAAATCAGAGTCAGCTTAACAGCACACAATTATTATAATTTATAGTGAGCATGAAGAAACCAGCAAAGTGCCTTGTAATATAAGCATTTGTACATATAAAACCTCTTATGTTTGTGTAATTGACTTTCTGGGAGTCCTGAGGGGAATGCTTTGTTATCTTTCTCTCTCCTGAATAAGTTAATACCCCAGGCTAACTTGCAGAACAAGGAAATGCAACAACAAAAAAGACAACAATCTACTTCTCATAGTGGTGATAGCAGCTGATACTCATGATATACAGAAGAGAACATTATCTCAGTTAATGTATTATGGAGAAGGCACCATTTGCCCTTTGGCACTTAAGAATTTTTAAAGAACATGAAACATCTTTCCTGCCTTTGTGAATCCACCTGAGCCAGGCTGCGTTCATACAGTCACCCCAGCCTCCTCTTAAACATTTTTAATTAAAGCAAAGCAAAGTGTGCTGCTTATATACTGCATCATAATGTGTGAAGTACTCTCTGGGTAGTTTAGAATTTACTGCATCATAGTGCGTGAAGTACTCTCTGGGTAGTTTAGAATTTAAATTATGCAGGCTACACATTGCCTCCACATACACCAGTGAGCTGGGCACTCAGTTTACTGAGGATGGAAGGTTAAGTTAACCTCAAGCCATCTATCTGAGACCAGGATCAAATTCAGGTTATGAGCAGAGTCAAGTTAACTTCAAGCCATCTATCTGAGACGAGGATCAAATTCAGGTCATGAGCAGAGTCTTCACTGCAGTACTGCAGTTTAACCCCTCTGCCACAAGGCTCACTTGATGACACTTAGCAGCCACTTTGCTCATGGTGCTCAATTCCACCCCCACCCCCATGTGGAAGAGGTACATCAGAGATTGCCCATGGTCCAAACAGAGACGCTGCCACCCACAATCTAGAATGAAGTACCCTCCCAAGCCACCTTGATGTAGATCAGGATTGGGCAAAGTATAGCCTTCCAGATGTTGACAGAGTACAACTCCCAGCATTCCTCACTATTGCCTATGCTAGCTGGGCTGGTGGGAGTTGCAATCCAAAAATATTTAAAGGGCTTCATTTTGACTATCTCTGATCTAGATAATTCTTTAGTTATCCACAACAGAGTCACTTGGACAGGTAGGACCACTTACCCTGTACACTACACTGTACAGGCAGTGGCATGTTTTGTTAAAATCTGAGATGCAGGTGCACATCACACGAGTTCCCACAGCCACACTCCCCAGGTCTGTCAATGCAGGCAGCTGTATTGATCCACAGTAATAACCCAATTCTACCTATTTTCACTTCCACCAAGAGAACATATTTTGTGAATCTATCTGGTCTTAAGGATCCATTCAAAAGCAAGCTATCCCAAAAAAACAGGTGACAGAATATTGTTGGATATGTTGGCTTGCAGTTGTGTGAGCCAAAAATCATCCCATTCAAGACATCAGAGCTTTCTGCTTGTGCAAGAGGGTTATTGATAGTCTTGTACACAAATGGAGGGGAAAGGGGTATCAGACATGAAATGTACCATACACATGCAGGAATTAAAAAACAAGCTTTTGGCCTCAGTACTACATCTAACCTTGGAGAGAACTGGGACATTTGAGTGGGGTACAGGAGGCTTGTATTTTTTAAAAGGTTATGAAAACTTTTTAGCATAAATAAAATTAGGTAGAACCTATACAGATGTGCTGTTTGTTGTAGAAGACCAGGATGAAAGATATTGTATCTAATGTTAAAATAATTAATATTTAATGGCATGTGCATGTTTATTTGCCTTTACACCCCATATCAAACACAAAAGTTTGCAGAAGGATATATTGGTTATAGGTAGAAATTTCAATGGGATTATTAACTGTAAAACAAATTGAGTAATGATGATAAAGCTAAGTGATTACCTCCGGGATTTCTAAAATCTTTATAAATGCATCAATTGTGGGATGTGTAAGGATTATAAAATCTGAATAATAATAGTAAAATCTTTCATTCTTCTCCACACAATTCTTATTCTAGGATAGAGTCTCTCTCTTCGTTTTGTTTTGTTTTCCTTCAGATAATGGCAAAGATTCTTAGGGTTTGTAAAGGAAAGTTCATGTTCGGTGATGCCTTGGGCAGGTGAAGTTATTGCTGCTTACTTGCCCATGCTATTCTTTCTGGTGGGTGCCATTTAATCACATTTTAAAATCAGCATGGAAAGTCAACTTCAGTGTTACTTGTAGCTAACATGGGGAAAGCATTGGTTCATACTTCTACAAAATGCCTGCCTGAAATTACTCTTAGATTGCCACCTAGTGTGTGCAAATATATCTGCACTAAACTTAAACATTTAATCATGTCAGGTCTATTCTGATTTACGGCAACCCTTTTCAGGATTGTCCAGGTGGAGAACACTCAGCAGTGGTTTACTATTCCCTTCTTCTGGAGGGTTCCCTGGGGCTGTGCTGCTTACTCAATGCTTCACAGGCTGGCTATACTCCCAGGAGGCATGGGTGTGGCAGGGGATCAAACTTCCAACCTCTGGCTCTGCAGTCAGATACCTAAAATGCTGCTAGCAATTATTCCAATAATCCCATGCATCTTAATGACATGGTGTGGAGTCTTGTACCAGTGCACATTACATGCTCTGTGCCAGTGTTTATTTTCTACCAAAAGAGGGCTAGCCATCATCTGGTGAAGTTATTTAAAGCAAAGGAAGGTACAAGTTTATGTGTGATTTCATTTCTCTTTCAGGGTCACTGGATTCATCCTTGTAATCTCTCACTGCATCCTTTTGCCATGCTGACAGCTCCCCAAGCTGCAGAACATGCACGGAAGCAGAGTAAGTGGGTGCTACTCCCTCCCAAGTAATTGTTAGTGGAAGCAAAAAAAAAAAAACACCTTTACTTACTTTATTTTTTCCAATAAGCAAATCCATTTATCATGATGTTACCATCCCTAGCAGTGGCCAAGTATCAATCCCAAAGAGACTAAGAACCATTGAATCAATGAAACTGACATGAATGTTCACATACAAAATTCCTGTTAATTCAGTAGGTTAGCTCTAGTAGGCTCTAGCACTTGGATTTAGGCTGGAGGGATCACTGAACGTAGCCTGCTTTTGTTTTAGGTAGGAGATACATCTCACTGTGTAATAAGCAAGCGCTATGCAAACCAGGTTTATGCAGAACATCTTTACAAAAAACCTGGATTGACTGGATACAGCACGAAAGTGGCACGGTAGCCAAACAGGCAGGAATTAGGCAGGGAAGACTTAATTTTGGCCTAACTCACTACATATATATATACTGTATATCTAAAGTCAACATTTTTTATGCAGTGTTTGTGGATCTGAGGGCAGCACTTGATTCAATACCTCAAATAAGACTTTGGGGAAAAGTCTTATTCTCCTCAACTATACAGTTAGAACATGAATTTTTAAAATTAAAAAATGTCCTTGAAACACTGTTTGAGAGTGTGATATGCAGTACTATGGATGGACATCTCACCGTTACCAGCTCATTGCAAAAAGGATTAAGCAAAGTTTAATTTTAGCACCTGATTTGTTTGAATTATGTATTGCTCATGTCACTGAGGATTTGACATGTCCAGTTTTTCATGTTCACCAATCAACCACAAAAGCAATTTCCATTTTATTCTAGATGGTGCTATACTGCAATCCCAAACTAAAATGGGTCTGAGAAGACTGCCTAGGGCATTTTCTGACTTATGGAAATTATAAAAAGAGAAAAGTACTAATGTTCTCCTTCTTCTTTGTTTGTGTCACACAAGCAAACCAGTGGTGCTTCCAGAGTAGAAGGATCAGCTGACTTTGTGAGAGAATGAGTGCTGGTGTACTGACCTGATCCTATGTTCGCATTTTAAAATAACTCCATGAGAAAAGAACACACTTTGGTTTTCAGTAGTATACAGGAAAGGAATCATTATGATTTTTTTTCTCCGTGCAGCAGGTAGCTATGTTTCCTCTTCTATCATTTAAAACACTAAGTGCAGCGAGGGTGCTACACAAATACTAATATAACAGCTTACTATAGAATGTTACCCCATAGAGATAGATTTGGCACACCAAATCTGTCATAGAAACAGCAATTCCATTTGTGCCATCTCACATATATACACATTATACCAGACTACAATGGCTGCTCATTTTGAGGAGCATCACTTTCAATTTTTCCATCAGTTTTAGCAGCAGAATTTTCCATACTTACTCTTGGGCCAGTTCCTCCAATGGGTCCAACAGGTCCTTCTTCCCCCTGAAATAAAATCAGGTTTAGCAACCATTATTTTTTGGATATTGTATTTATTTTAATCACCTGGAGAAACAGTTTCCTGGTATAACAAACAACTGAACATCTTAGGCAAAGGTATGGTTTTTCGACTAGCAATGTATGGAAGTGAAAGCTGGACCATAAAGAAGGCAGACTGTCAAAGAATTGATGCTTTTGAATTGTGGTGCTGAAGAAGTCACCTGGACTGCAAGGAGAACAAATCTGTCCATTCTGAAGGAAATCGACCCTGAGTGCTCACTGGAAGGACTGATCCTGAACCTGAGGCTCCAATACTTTGGCCATCTCATGAGAAGAGAGGACTCCCTGGAAAAGCCCCTGATGTTGGGAAAGAGTGAAGGCAAGAGGAGAAGAGGGCGACAGAGGACGAGATGGTTGGACAATGTCACCGAAGTAACCAACATGAATTTGACCCAACTCCGGGAGGCAGTGGAAGACAGGAGGGCCTGGCGTGCTCTGGTCCATGGGGCCATGAAGAGTCGGACACGACTTAACGACAACAATTTAATCAGTGGGGATGCACTAACTCAACTCTTCTGCAATTTCCATTGATAGACGTACTGTACTATGGTTACAACTTACTATGGTAAAGTTAGTTGCAGCTAAAGTAGGCTCATTAGAATAATGGCATGTATGAAGGAGTTGATTCACCAAATCCCCACTGATTTAATGGATCTACTTTGGTACAATTTACTGCACTAACCAGCATGATTTCAGCTGCTGTGTTCCTTCTGCACAGATGGTCATTGTGACATGCCACTTTTGTGCCCCCAGATTATTTCACTGACCTAAAGCCCACGCCACATTCCCTTTTATGCTGCCACCAGGTGATCTCGTGTCAACAATGTTTACTTAGAAAGACTGAGGTCCATACTGCGTGTAAATTTTAACAAAACAGGTTTATTAGATACAGTTCACATAAATAGGTTCCTAAAAGACTTTAAATTATTCAGTAGATTCGTACTAACTTATTCCACATTTAACTCTCTCTAAGTTCCACACTCTCAATTGCCTCCCTTAACTCCTCACTCTCTAACTGACTTCTCACTTCAGATTCTCTCACTATCTAACTCTAACTGACCAACTGTTCTTATCTGCCTCACCCCTCCCTTCTAGTTACTCTGGCTCCGCCTCCCAACAGCTCCCATTGGTGCATGCAAATAACCTCACACATGAGCCAAAGCAGGGTGATCGCGAGAGGCATTGTCTCATATCTTCTGTATTAGAAGTATACAAGTATATTGCTCTATAAGATGCAAGTGTGGGCTAATGCCAATTAAACACCATTCGAGATTGTGCAGTCAAAATTCCTTAAGCAAATATTTTCTGTTCCAGGTTATGTTCCAAATGTGCCTTTGAGACTGAAAGGTGATCCTCCCAACCCCCATTTCTATGTAGGCTTGCCTTAGGACATTTAATTACTGTTTGCAGTTGAGTCTACTGCTTTCTGATTTGATTCCTTTTATTTTATTTGATTCACCATGTGAGCAACTGGGAGAAAGCCATTAAGATTAAGACTAAGCTTTGCTCAAAAGAAGCACAACAGTTGTTCATTTTTGGTCTGAGAGAGATTTGCTAAGATAGCATCTGCACAGGACAATTTGTTTGCCCTTGGGGGTTAATGCCACTGAGATGATTGTTTTCTGCCTGGCTCCCCAAATGCAATGGCACATTACTTGCAAGATCTAGCAGCCAGTTATCTTCTTGTGGAGCTCCACTGAAGCAGCAAGAATGACTGGATGTTGCAGATTGCTGCTAGTCAAAGAGCTCTAAATTCAGGATTTGTGTGATCTCATCCCATTGCAAATGAGTCACATGGACCCCAAAATTGAAAACAGAATGGTTTAATTCCTAGCAATCCTCTACTCATCATGCTCTGCAACAGGAGGCTGGCCAACAATTTCTAAATATAGAAGGGCTTTTTCAAGTGCACGGAGGACTCTGTTGACAAATCAGAAATGCCCATGAGTCAGTGGTACAAAAACTATGTATTATTGTGTTCCTTTTACAGAAAATTACGGAAAGAGTTAATCCCCCTGCCCTTATGGGTTTCTGTCCAAGGTCACTCATCTGATTTGCATGTATATTTTCTTCATGAAGCTAAAAAGCAATAAGTAACAGCAGAATGTAGAACATTTTTGGCAGCTGCTGTGAAAATGTACTATAATACAATGTCCTGAATGTTAAATTTTAATACATTTTTTGTGACGTGATTTGACCTATTTCTGTTTTGTATTGCATGTGTTTGATGTACCTTTCTTGCTGATTTGGGGAGATACTTCTATTTCTTGATTCTGTGTGGTGTATTGAAAAAGCATATACCTAACATACCTGCCACATGCAGCATCAAGGAGATTTTGGACACTTCTGAATCCAAAAGAGGTCAGGGGCTCTCCTTGAAAGCAGTGAGACTACTTTCTGAGTCTCTCTGAAGCTTGGCACAAAAGGTTTGGGTCCTCAACACCTTTTCATCATAGTGCTGGGAAGGAGGACAAAGGCTCTCCACTCTTGACAGAGAGAAGCAGAATTATGTCAAGCTCAAATCATGCTTGCCTGTCAAAATTAGCCAATCACGGTGTATCGCTGGATGCAAGTTGTTCTTAGTGTCAACCAGCTTGGAATTCATAGAGATGATCAAAGGGGGCAGATTATGCATTTGATGAGGCACATTACAATCCATAAAAACGTATACCCGATTAAATGTATTGATCCTTAAAGGTGCCACAACCTCAAGGGGAAGGAACTTTGTCAGGAATTGGAGTTCACAGAGATTACATTGAACTTTGGCAGGAACTGATTTTGATGGAACATTAGAGAAGTTCTGGACAAACTGCAGAGTAAGAGAAGGGTGAAAATGACATCCTTTGTTCTTTTTTTTTCTAAGGCATCAAGTTCCACAGGGCAACTGCAAGCCGAAATGCCACCAGAACTTCAAAAAAAGGAATGGACACCAAGTAGAATCAAACCGAACCTTTATTTTCAAGAAAGTGACACACTGAAGTACATCATTTTTTTTAATCCAAAGAAGAGTAGACTTCACTTCTAAATCTTCATTGAAAAGGCCAGTCCAGAGGGAACATGGACCTCATGCTGCCTGACCCTGTGCCGGTTTTATCATGGGGCATAATACCAAGGCACCGTACACAGGACTGCAACCTTAAGGTGTGGCTGGAAATGAAAATCGGTGCCAACAATTGTTGATTACATTTGAGATGCTGAAAGAGTACAGCCAGGCAGGCAGGCTTTACTTATGTAAAGGAACTGACGGTGGGGGTTTTTATCGGGGTTTTTTTCCTGCTTCAGGAACTCCTCTGGAGTGGTCGGAAGATCAGATGGGCGGGGTATCTTAAGGTGTGATTGGAAATGAAAATCGGTGTCAACAATTGTTGATTAAATTTGAGATGCTGAAAGAGTACAGCCAGCTTTACTTATGCAAAGGAACTGACGGTGGGGGTTTTATTGGGGGGGGTCTGCTTCAGGAACTCCTCTGGATGTTCAGCTACCACTTCTGCTATTTTGTGCACTCAGATTTCTAGTGCTCTTTCTTGGTGAACTTTCTTGGAGCTGTTCCAGGTAGACTCCATCATTCGTCACACCATCGCTCATCACACTCAGACTCCTGGGATTTTACCATGGAGGGCAGTAAATAAAAACAACAAATTAGTCAATATCACTACTTTGATTGTAGGTGTCTTTTCTTTCCTTCCACAAGGTTGGATAATACTTTAATGGCACCACTAAACTTGACAACAGAAGAGCCTTCAAGTCCTGCAAAACTGTTTTATTAAATTAGGCATTGCAGAGGTGGGAGTTCAGGTTAGGTGGAACAGAGGAAACATCATCCTGGTTAGGTGTTGATCTTTTGCGATCTGTAATTAAAGTAAAGTTCTAAAATGGAGGTTGCAACCCCAGAATCATCAGTCTGAGGTGTGACGGTAGTATCAGGTTTCACCATTGGTGATATAAAGTCAATTGTTTTTCTCCATTGCTGTAGAGACCATTGTTTCCCAACCTTTCTCCAAATATCTGCCATCTTTTACAATTGCCAAGTAACCTGTGACCCCACTGCCACACTTGCATAAAAAGGAATTTTAATAGCATAAAGAAAACACATTAAAATATATTTGTTCAGAATATAATTCTAGCTTAATTAATTAATATTAATGTAATAATACACATTTATGGCTGGATAAAATTTTAGAAGGAAAATAATGTCAATGCACTTTAAGTTTACAGTAATTTACTTTTTGGGTGTAGAAATGACTCTTTACTTTTATTAGATTTTTACCCCGCCCCCCTAGACAAATCTACTCGGGGCAGCCTACATACATAATAAAATGTCACAGACTCTGTCTTCATGTTTCTCCCCCTCCACACGAAAAAAACATCTGAGTGAAGAGCCCCTCCCCTTCAAGCCCAAATAAATACCTCCCCCCATGGCCTCCCATGTCCCCCTACACCTCCCTGGCCTTTTTACCCCACTTGCCCTTCTCCATTACTCAGGCAGAGCCCAGAAGCATCTCCCTGCCCAGGTCCCCTCTTCCTTTGCTGTGCCACTGTTGCCACACTCGGAAGAGCAAAAGACTCAGGTGAAGCAAAAGGGGTCTCTACTATAGCAGCAAGAACTTTTCAGTCCTACTGCCACCACCTTGGGTGTCAGCGTCCCCTGTGTTCACTGCATGCTTGCCTCATTCAGGCTTCTTTAAGCCGGTCTAATGGTCGGGTCCAAAGCCCTCCAAAGGTGGAAGTGGGGGAGCAGAGAGAAATGAGTGAGATCAGCTCTTTCAGAAGAGGAAGGAGTGATGTGCGTGCATTAAAAGAAAATCTGCCCAAAGGGTGACAGCAATAACAGAGAACTCTAGGTTGTCTGGCTCAGATTACATTTATCTGTGGGCCAACAGGATTAAAATAAAACAGCATTGCTTACACCTATTTAATGTAATAAATATAAAAATTATTGCAACTAAAAATAATTGCAATGACCTCCCAGAAAACACTTTGCGACCCCTTGGGGGTCATGACTAGAGAGGGGGTTACTCATATTTATATGTGAATACAAATATCCCCGCACAGCTGAACTTAACAAGAGACTGTCCACTCATGTGTCCACTGGCAGCGGCAGCCTCGCGCATCCTTCCAGTCACTCTCCGAGCGCCACTCTCTTCCCGCTCAACTGGCCACTCAGCAGCTGTGCAGGGAGACTTGTCCTCCCTCTCCCTGCCTGGAGTGGCTAGCCGAGCGCGATAGAGCATTATCACTTGTAGAAGGCTTTTCAAATTAGGCCAATACTTGCAGGCCACCTACCCCTGGTCTACTGCTACATGAACGACCCTCAGGCTCATGTCCTCTGCTACACCAGCAAGGAGGCAACTGGGAAAAAAAGCATGTTGTGGTTTGAACAGCCATGCTTCTGCTATCATGTAAGAGTGGCAAGGAATCTGGAGAAAGGAAGCCAGGAAGTGATGGTAGCTAAGTGTCAATTGTGCCTGGTTCAATATCCCACAAAAGCCTATCACAAGGCCTGTGGTTTGTAGCTTGCCTGCAAGAAAGCTGAACTGCTGAATGTAAAGGAAATAGACCTTTCCCACCATGAGGTTCAACGTCTTAGTAGCCCTTTTATATATGTCTTTATTTAAAATATTTTACAATATTTGCCTTTGTCCTTAAAAAGGACTCAATGTTGTCATTAAAAGATAACATTTAAATCTGAAAACAATAAGTATACAACTATTAAAAAGGAACAAACAAATACCATTCTGAGAGATGTTAAATACAAGTAGTACTAAAGACTCAATCACAGGAGTAATGCATGACAATAAATCTAAAAGTCACACTCATGTAGCCAGTCACTGAGAAAAAGCCTACCTGAAGAGAAAGATCTTTGCCTGCCTGCAGGAAGACGGCAAATATGGGGCCAGTCTGGCCTCCTGTGGGAGGGCGTTCCAAAGTCTGGGAGTGGCAAGAGAGAAAGCCCACTCTCATGCCCCCACCAAATGCATCTGTAAAGGTGGTGGTACCGAGAGAAATGTCTCTGCTGATGGCCTCAACACTCAAGATGGCTCATAATGGAAGACACAGTGTTTGAGATAGCTCACATCTTGCCTTTCGAGAGAAGAGGAGTGTGATAGCTTTGGTCATTTCACTTGGAACTATTGCAGATTGTTTAAAAAATAAAAATAAAATTCCTATTTTAATAGCTGTGCAAACTAGTGAGAGGAAAGAGATATGAAGGTGTTCACTCCCACACCATGTCTCACTGTATACATTTTGATTTATGTTCTCATGATATTTATTTATTTGTTTGTTTATTTGTTTGTTTATTTATTTATTTATTTATTTATTTATTTATTTATTTATTTATTTATTTATTTATTTATTTTATATCGCGCCTATCTGGTCGTGTCAGGACCACTCTAGTGGCAATGTTCCAGAAGGATAAAAAAAAAACAAGTTATTCACATAAGAGAATTCCACAATTTTGGCCACTGTCTGGCTGCTAGAGAAAATGATGAAACTATCATTAAGGACCATGTGACAAACAGCAGGATGAATGCTCACCTGGTTGCACCCTTAAGTAGTATTTTATTTATTTGTTTGTTTGTTTGTTTTTTTGTTTGTTTGTTTGTTTGTTTAATTTATATGCCGCCCACTCTACCAATCCCTTCTTTGTTGCTGGACAAGAAAGCAAGGAACAGAGGAGCAGACTCTCACTACTGCTCATTTCTGTAACAATAAACCATGTTTCCCCAATCTGATGCTCTGCACATGTGCTTGAGTTACAGTTCCCATCGTCCCACCCAGTATGGACACTGAGGGGATGGTCACTGTAGTCCAACACTTATGGACACAGACAGCTTGGGAAAGGCGGTGCTAAACCGTGTATTTTTCTTACATCCAAACCCAGTCATTCAAGTTCATCATTTGTTCAGGTCACTTGTGATATTATGTAGTTTCCACTGTGGTCACTAGAGGCCGTTGAAACACTTGCTTTAATGGGCAGCCATTCCGGCTGTTGTCGTTCCAACAGCGGGGACAACATTTCCCTCTTTTGTCAGGCAGCCCACACAATAATTTCCTTCTGGATTCAGTTTGTCGGCACAAATTAGTGTGTGTTCAAGCACACTTTGGAATAGTTTGCAATATCTCCACAAAGCCTGGTGAAGGCAGGGTGGATCAGATGGTGTCTTTGGTAAGGCCAACTCATCCATCAGGTGCCCCTCTAGTCAGAACTTAACTATTACTAACTTTAGTTTGGAATAAATGGTCAGGCTGCATAGCTCTTTAAACAATAGCTGCCTAGCTTGGTTGTTTCTTTTAAAAATAATCTTATGTGTGCTTTTAACATTTATCTAAATTCCAGAATATTTTTCTTTCTAAAATTTATTCCTAGATGGCAATGTTCTTTCACTAGAAATATGCAGTACAAACTGGAGAGAATAGCATTTGGGATATATGCATAGCTGCTGACTTTTGCCTTATGCTTCGTGTCTATCCCTTTTTAATAGAATGACATTTTGAGGTTGTTACCTCGGCTTCTTTGCAATTGTTAGAAATGTATTTGTTGTTAGAAACCTATTTCTTTCAAGAGCAAAAGATGCTATTAGCATTCCCAGCAGAGTTATATTATTAGAACCATTTTTAAAAAGGGGGGGTTACCTTAATAAGGGGAAGGTAGTCTGCCAATGTTAAGAGGTGGGTGGGCAGAATAAAGCCTGCTTACTCTTCAGATAATAGGGCTCTACCCAGGGTGCCAGGATTTTTGAAATCCATGCTTGGTTACCTATCGCCATGGTACAGTACAGCCCTCAACTCTGTGTTTCGTTTTGCTGGTGCTTAGGCTTTGAACCTGTGGCGTCCATCCCAATGAATGCAGTACCTCAGAGCACCTCCACAGCCTCCTCACCTCCTTGCTGACTGAGCACTAAGTACCATACGACAAGACTGTTTCATTTCCCTGAACTTACAGCAAGAGTGCTAATCATACTTTGCCTGTCACTTATGTTTGGGATTCAGAATCAGGTCTTCCAAAGAAGAAGGTGTGACTTTATGGAACTGTGCCCTTAAGACCTCTGATATGGGATATGGAAACTGCATACCAGGCATCTTTATGCAGCTTCTAATAAGGGCTTTCAAAGTAAGTGATATGTTTAAGGAGTGGTTTTACCAGTTCTACACCCACACTGAGTTTCAATGTCTGAACGGGGATTCAAACCCAGGCCTCCTGAGTCCTTGTCCATCACTCTATTCATTACATCACACTGGGTGTCATTTTGATACATCATAGAAACATATTATTAGATGAAAAATGTC